CTATTTTGCCGCTTTATATCATTTTATAAATTAAAAAACGAAATTTTTTTTCTAAAGAATTTTTTGGAATAATTTTAGCTCTTAAAAATAAAAACAATTCTTATTTTCACATATGAAAATGAATAGTGAAGAAAGTCCGTCACTAAAATTAAATTAACGCCAACGACTTATTAAAGCACTCAAATGACGTCATTTGGATGCTGGAATAGACTTATTCTAATACCGAAATAGAAAAAAATATTTTTTCAACAGAAATAAATAGTCAAAGTTGAAAATTTAAACTCTCATAATTTCGAAATTTTTATAGATAGAATTTTTTTAACATTCTTTCCAAGTTCCTGGTATCTCCCCTGTAGCGCGAGTTTTAGCACGCCCTGTATAAATGCCTGCAAGGAATCAAAAATAGTTTAATTGTAAAGGTTCAAGATTGGATGGCGTTTTTATAGCGAAGAATAGAGTGGATAAACTAACGAAACAGTCACCAGAATAGCTTCCATTACTGCTCTCTATGTCCTAATCCAATATAATAAAAATGAAGACAATTCTGTTATTGCGGTCCGAATTAATTTCGCGAATGCTCGTCAAATGATACCACTTCTACTTTGTTGCTTTTATTTCGTGGTCTTTGATCCATTTAATATGTTATGAAAGCCTCCGAAACATCCGTCATAAAGCGAAAATGATCGCTCTTTCAATATTGACACTGACAGACGAAATGTGCTTCATCAATTTTTTTTGATAGTTGGGTCGATTGAACAGAGTTTTAAACTACCGTCTGATCTGCCACTAGGGTCAATCCCCTGTCTGAATTGAGTAAAATGATGGGATGAAATCAAATCCTGTAATTTATGAACTATCATTTAAGAAAAAACGGCTACGAATATCTCAACGAAAAATTCTGTTTTTTGTCATTTTTGTGACTTTATTGAGTTTCCTTCAACAATATTGAATTCTGCCGTGTTATTGAAATGTGTGATATTTCATATTGTTTCCGATCAAAAAAGGAACTGAATAAACCGATAGTTTAAAGAAATATTCTTTGTAGCAATGCAATGAATTCCATTCGAGAATCTCGTCGGAATCGATTTTGAATTTTAGATGTGACTACATGTAAAAATTACATTCGTGACTCGAAACACCGCTGAAATGGCGGAAGAGGTTTCGCTGTTGCTTGTCTATCGGCTTTATATTTATGTTTGGAATTTTCGCAAACTCTCTTTGGATCAGAAATGGAAGTTATTTGAATACTGACTTGAATTTTAAACATCTATTCGGTTATTTATTAAGATTAGTGCAGGTACCGAACAAGTTTTTAGAATTTTAACAAGAAAGCGCTGTTTCAAGTTTTTACACTTAAAAAAATAATTCAACCCCACTCATAGTGCCTACATTCTATGTTTGAAGCAAGGTGCGCAGATTTTTTATAAAAGTGGAAAATTTTACAGGATTTGATTTTGTACATAACCAATTTTTTCACACACGCACTTTTTCGAGGTATAAACGAGAAACCATATAAAACTCCTTTCAGGCTCCTCTCAGTTTTAGATCATTTCTACATTTTGTTTTAAAAGTGGTGGATGCGCCGGGATAATCTTCCCCGCTAATCAATTTGAGCTTTTCCTCTTAATATTTCGCACATTTCAAAACTTTGACATCTTTCTGAAACATTTGATAGAATATCCCCGGAGCCACTAGTAGGTATGTGAAACACTAAACGCTCCTTTCCATCAACATTTGTAAACATCTCTCCTTACCCTTTCTCGAGAGGCATTCACGTTAATTAACAATGTGGCAGAAATCTATCTTAACTAATAATAGACAACCTGTCACGATATTCCTTCGAGTCCCGGAATGGTGTTGCAGCCGTTCGAGATAAGCTTCTTTATTGTCCCCATTGTCTCGTCACAGCAAACCGGAAACAGATGGCGAAGTTCATGGTTTCCGTTTCCATCGATTGTCTTCGACTCTAATATAATTTAATTGTTTCCGGAATCGATTTTTTAACCCTTGACTTGATATTTCAATGCGGCCATAAATCACCTCAGAAGCGTAAATGCTCATACAAACTACTCGTGTTATGGCAAGATGGGAACTTTTAAATTCGAGTTATGATGTTTTTCCGAAGTTTTGTGTGATTTATAGGATGATGTTCTTTTGAGAGAATTAACATTATCAAAATGTTTTAGGTGTGCTGCAGGTTTTGTTTGTGTGGCTCTATTCGGACTTTGTTTGTATTTGATTCTATTGAACAAAACTGAAAGCTCTCGTGTGGGCTTAATGAAATGTTTGTGTAAGTAAAGAATTGCCATTAGTGGAAAGGTTTCTTCGTGTCAAAGCAATCCCTTTTGTGCTTACCCTCTTCTAATTGTAATATTTAACCAAACTATTTTATCCTAGTAGGTTTCAACATTATCGAGCAAAATGTAATTGCGCTCATAATTCACATTCCACTCACGTGCGCTTTATTAAAATAATCCAAAGCTGCAACAATTTTGGAATTTATTGATTTGCTTTGCGAGCTTTAATCTGGGCTGGTTTCAACTAAAATTTTCACAACAGTATAAAATTGAAAAATGTGGCTAATAGCACGACTTATAATGACAAAACGGCGTTATTAAGCAAAATGTAGTTTTGTCAGGAAGTTGTCTGGTAACAAATGGAAACTCATTCAATCTACTCGTAACTGAATAGCCAGTTATAATTCATTTTGTCTTTTGTGGATGGCAACAAAATGTGGATATTTCTCAATAGTGGCATAAATTTTCCTCTGAAAGCGTCGTGCAAAAAATCCCTTCATTGTTAAAAACGCCTCGCGAAAGCATAAAATAGTTTTATTTGAAAAAAGCAAACGCTTGAGATTATGGACATAATCAATATCGAGCTTCTTACAAGTTTTAAGTCTGTTTGAAAAGTTTAAATTGGAAACTGAACAGGTAATTAAACGACTTACAATTTTAAGCTCTTATTAAAAAATGTCGGAATTGCGGTTGCAACTCTCGACAATAGAACGCGACCTTTGGAGTGGAAATGTGGAGTTTGCTAGAGTATACCTAACGTGACCTCAGATATTCAGCTTGTTTACGTTTGTTACTCGTGTGCAGAAATCTCCTCAGGCGCTTGCTAATTTTACCGACGAATTATCACGTCGCTATTTACTCGCTTCATTTCCCAACGCAAATGGTCGAAAAGTGTAAATTTTTATTTGAATTGTGAGAAACACACATTTTCCGAAAAATATGTTTTCGACGAGACGTTTTGTGGAAGTTTTCAAAGTCGTTAATCTGGTTTATGGCACATAAAACAAATAAATTATCTAAGGATCGTCTCAAAGTTTACAACTCTAATCCAGCCAAGGTTTTAAAAATAATAAAAGTTTTAATATGAAAGATTTGTCAGGAAACTATTGTTCTTCTGGTTAATAATTTACCAAATTTTTGATCTGTAACTCAAAAGTTACAGCAAGGAGGAATAAGAAATTGTATCGTATTCAAGCATTTTTATTATAAGTTTTTTCCTACTAGAAACAGAAAAATACTAAAAAATCGAATATAAACTAGATTCCATAAACATAATTAAAAAAAGATTTGTGAAAAAACACGTGGCAGGTAATTTAAGCTCTTTATCATTTTTTTAAATACTGAAATGCGTCAATAATAGATAACAAATCACACTAATTTACAAATAATAACTTGTTCAATATACCTTTAATCAAATTATTATTTTTACGTTACCTTTAATTAAACAAAAATAATAGTTAATTTTTTACACGTCACGTTTTTTGTTACGAAAGATAATTTTCCTCCTTTCTGCACAAATGCCTCCGAGTAAAATCTTAAAATAGATACACTTCATTGACTTTTCTAAAAACTTACGCAGCATAAGTGACAAACAAGATCTGAAGCGTTTTCAAAGATTGACACAAAGGTTTTTGGGATGAAAATATGTTAGGAGATTGACTGTTATAAAGAAATCTGATCCAAAAAAAGTATAAAAAACAAAGTAAAATGAATCATTTTTAATTTCTTATTAGGCGGTTTCTGTTTTTTTGTTAATTACGTATTTCTTAAACGTAACGTGGTGAACTTTTACATAAAAATCGTGTAAACTATAGTGTCATTATTGTCTAAAAATGCACCAAATGACGAGAATTCAATTCAACAGTAATCGTTTTAATATTAAAAAGAGAAATATAAAATAACACAATACTGTATAAACACAGAGTTTGTTTGGTAATGAACAATGTAAATATTATAAAATTTAATAAACAACTAAAAATAGTTAATGGAAAGAGCTGGTGATGCTGATTATGCGTTTAAATTTTATGATAATGTTACTATCCTGTCTAATTAGGTAACTGTTTTACAAAAATTATAACAAAAATACTGTGGAAATAAATGTCTAGGTTTTGTTTTATTCTAGAAGCAAATGCACATTATGAAAATACAAAGTTTCAACGTTTTAATTAACATTTCAGAATATTTGAGTTTATTTGAGCTGCATTAATAATGGAAACTGGCCTTGATTAAATTATTTAACTTTTTGCCCACATTTGAATATGATTCGGCTCTCGTTCGTGATCAATGTACAAGGATTAAAGACAGTAAAAAGCGTGTATGAGAGAAGATTTTCCTCTCGAAAAACGTTTCAAGTCCTTCAAGCAGCGAACGTCGGGCTTTGTGTTTCGCAACGAATCGCGTGAGGAATAGAAGATTTCATTCTTTTTGTATCCGATACCATAAATACAGTTCCTTTATTCCCCGTTTTTTTATTTAAACCACCCTAAAATAGAAGCAAGAGACGTGACCTATCATAATTGAAAAATAAAGGGAAATCGAAGTTTACGGGCACTTAAATCAAAATTGCCAAAAATAGCTAAGAGGAAATTAGTGTCGCGCTTTCCCCGAATCGCGTACTAATTAAGGGCCGGAATAGAAGAGAATTTGGGGAATTTGAGAGGTAAATCAAACTAGTTTTTTCCTTAACTGAAACGCAAATGGTTCGAGAGGGTCTCCATGATGGTTATACTGCTCAACTGCGTCACGTTGGGGATGTATCAACCCTGCATGGATGACAAGTGCGAAACCAATAGGTGTAAGATATTGCAGGTGAGTGATTGAAAGAGTTTTAACCCCGAACATAATCTCCTTATTTAAGTTTGAGACGGAATTTGCGACTTTTATCGACTCCACTCCCGAGGGATGCTAAAACTTGTGTCATTCAGGGTTGTATCATTTTCTCATTAAATTTTAGAGAGCTTTCCTCTGTTGTTGGGAGTTCGATGTTCGTATAATGTTCGTGTTTATGACTGGACTTGGACTAAACCGATCAACATTGTGTGCTATGTTTCAGCTTTTCGATGACTTTATTTTCGCGTTTTTTTCGTTGGAAATGACCATCAAGATGATCGCAATGGGTGTGTTTGGTCGTGGCACGTATCTCGCCGATTCCTGGAATCGCCTCGACTTGTTCATCGTGTTAACAGGAGCGATGGAGTATATCCTCAATGTGGACAACTTGAACCTTTCCGCTGTGAGAACGATAAGAGTGTTGCGACCTTTGCGAGCAATCAACAGAATACCAAGTGAGTAGAAATATCGCTGCTTTTTCGCACTAATTAACGGTCGAAAGTTTCAAGTAGAATAATCACCAAAGTCAAACATGAAACCCTCGTTTGCTAAAACGCCTCCGTCAACACATTCACAAGTTTGTAAATTTATATAACTTGCAGGCAAAAGTTGATGACAGAGCTTAGAGACAATTACTTTTCTAATGTGAGATGTCAAATTTTATTTTAAAAGCCTTGAAACGTAAATCCTTATTACATCCTTTTGACCAGTATGAAAAGCAAACTTTTACTTTGTATATGTTTCAATTAGTTATAGTTTTATGTAAATGAACAAAATACATAGGCAATTAGTGTTTAAAATTTTTATTCAAGACGCATCACGACGACGGTTGACAAGTTTTCTTTAATTACAGTTATCCGGGATAACGACTCTTCTCTAATAACAAAACCACAAAAAAATAAAAAATAGATTTACATAATAAATAGAATACCTGCAGAAATTGTATACATCAAAGATGTAATTGCAATAATAGCAATTACAGCATTTACCAAAGAAAGTTTAAACATGTTGCTTGTTTTAAGTTTAACAATGAATAAAATTCTACACTACGAATGTTCCTTGGTGACTCTTTTGTAGTTTAAGGAAGACATTCATAAGGATTCGAAAACACAGCAATTATTTCGAAATTATACAACTACACATAACCCCTCATTAAAATTTTATAAATAAAAACTTCTGTCGCAGAACAGTAGGAATAATGTAATTAAAACGTAGACTTGGCACTTTAAATATTGGCGCCATATATACAAATATCACAATTATTGTAGAGTTACTTTACTTAATTCTTAATTTTTTTCCAACTAAAGTTTTTTATTTCATAAATGAACCGTTTTCAGACTCATGTTTATGTTTATGTCATATTTACAGTATCATTTAAATGAGACTTGGAACTAACAAATGTTTCTTTGATAAATATCATCGTTTTTTTCACGACCAACTTGTAGAAAATTTAGTGTTTCTCTTTTCTAAGCTGTAACTCTTTAACGAATGAAGGTAGAAAATATTTATTTAAACTTTTTTTCTCAGGTGACATTTTCTATCACTGCTTGACATATGGCGGTTTGCTTTTGGCACAGCCTATATAGTAGTAGCTAGTGACGTCAAAATATGCTAAAATTTGCATTTAATTTTAACAAATAAAGTTGAAGTGGATGCTGGGATTACGTTGGATATTTCGAAAACAGTACATCATAATATTTAGGTAAATAATTTATAATAAAAAACTCAAAAAGCCAACAAGATTCAATCGATTAAAGAGCTTGAACGTCAAACTCCGTACTGTGTAAACATTTCTCAGAGTGATTCTGGTCTCATTTGAGAGTATAGAAACGTCATTAGTCGTATAACATGACAATAAACTGATTAATTCTAAACTAAAAAAAATGCAATATCAAAAAAAAAAATTGGGGAAAAATAAATAAATGATAGTAATAAATGATGGTCTTTATTAAGATAAAATGAAAGAAGAAGAAAACTAAGTAGGCAAGTTCTAGCTACAGAAACTGTTCTACTTAACCGCCAGAACAAATAATATGTAATGAAACTACGGAGAACTATACCTATACTTAGTCTTTATGTATCCGTAAATGAAACTAAATAATAATGTAACAATAATACATAGCTTAAAATTAAAAATGGTAAATAAAAAACAAAGATAGTGGTAAAGATAAAGAAACAAATCATAACTTCACAACATAAACTTAAAAATGAAATATACAGGGTGTTTCACGTAACTTTACGAGGCTTGCGCCTAATGTACGCACCCAAATATACAAAAGTCACAGAACACTGGATACAAAAAACACACATTTAATTATTTAATTTTTGGAAACCCATGACAGTAGTTGTCAAACTAATCACTGTTTCATTAATAGTCATAAACTGCAGTTTTTCAGAAACAATTATTTTCATATGTTCTGTAAAGAGACGGCATGAATATGATTCTAGTTTATCTATCTTAATCATTAACTAACTAAAAACATTGTAATTTTTGAAAGGGTGAACAAACTAGAGAAGATTATCCAATTTTTCAAAATTTGTAATCGAGTTCGTATCGGAATATGTATTATTGATTGCATCTTACAGGTGCAGGCCTCGTAAAATTATGTGAAACACCCTGTATTTATTAAATACCCAGATAATTACTTTTTTTATATGAAATATCAAATTTTATTTTAAAAGCCTTGAAACGTAAATCTTAAAAAAATATTACAGCCTTTTGCCTAGCGTATGAATGAATTTACGCCTGTGTCGACACGTTTCAAACTTTTCTTCTTTGATGTTAGAAAAAAGTTGTTACTCTTGAAACATTAAAATCGCGCATTAATTGAATCGAACTGCATTTCATCAAAACTAGGATACGGTATTCAGAAAATTAATCACAAGTTGGAACCAAACAGTGCTTTTATGACACGCATACATCTCAAACTTGTTAAAAACAAACTTTTAGCTTGTGTGTGCTCTAATTGGTTGGTTGCAGTTTTATGGGAATGAACAAAATATACACATGCATAGTTTGAAATT